TTCCTCCACAGCCTACTCAATGTGAAAATGACATGTATGAAGGCCTTTAGGAAGATCTACTTCCACCTGATGAACAGTAAATAATTTTCTCTTCCTTGTGATTTTCTTATCAACATTATTTTCTAATTTACTTTTAAAAATGCAGTATATGAAATATAAAATATGTGCTAATCAACTGTTTATTACCAGTAATACTTCTAGTCAACAGTTGGCTATTGATAGTTAAGCTTAGGGTAGTCAAAAGTTACACACAGATTTTGGACTGTGTGGAGGGTCAGTGCCCCTAACCGCTGTGTTGTTCAAGGGTCAGCTGCATTTCTAATTTTCTTGTTGACAGTCAGAAGAGTTTACTAAGAAAATTCAGCTAACAACCTAGTTTTGAAGCATTTTCCAGATGTTTGTCATGCATAGCTAGGAGCCAGAGAAACAGGCAAAGATGTAGAAGACAATGCAGATTTAGAAGGAAATATATATACTAACATATTTTTATTAAAGTATGAAGTTGAACAAGAACTCAGTACTGAACTCAATATTTTCATTATTCCTGCCCATAATCATGAATGCTTCTAAACAGAGTGCAGGCAGCACCTGACCAGTGTACAATCAACTCATGGAGAAGCGTTTTTAAAGGAAGTCCTCTCTTTCTTACTCCCAGCCAGCCTAGGACACTTTCCTATCAGAATCTTCCACTCCCAAGCCTTCTCTGCATCTCACCTCAACCCTAACCACCCCCAGCCCAAGTTGGCCAGGCAGAAAGAAGAGGAGGAAGAAAATGGTACACATGTGAACATGTGCATGCCCTAACCACCCCCAGCCCAAGTTGGCCAGGCAGAAAGAAGAGGAGGAAGAAAATGGTACACATGTGAACATGTGCATGCCCTAACTACCTCAGCCCTAACCACGCCCAGCCCAAGTTGGCCAGGCAGAAAGATGAGGAAGAAGAAAATGGTACACATGTGCATGCCACACACATTTACTCTTCTCTCATGTCCACTTTGCTGCAATTCCTCTGAAGATGAACACCCAGAGAGGAAGGAGAGGATAAGAATAGCAAAGGGCTTGCTAACACCTCCAGCTGCCAGGCCTCCTCTCTCCACAGTTATGAGGAAAGCCAGGCTTCATTCTTACCCCTCCTCCACCCCCACCACACACACACACACACACAAACCAACTCTCACCTCCCTCAGGCTTCACAAAGCCCTCAACTCCACTCCACCCATACCTCCCCAATCCGCATTTCCAACGTGCCCTCTTCCCTTTAAAACTAGTCTCCTCCAGCTTTGCTGGAGCCCTGCCACAGAAGTCACATTCCAAGCAACTGGAAAGAAAATACAGAATAAATGTAATTTGTTATTTGTGGATGCCCTAACCCTTGCCATCTAGTAACTCTAGTTACTAGAGCAAGTAGGAAGCTCTCCTGTAATTGTAGTTCATTTTCTGGTGATTAGGTTACTCTTAGAAATTAGAGGTTTCATTTATACTAAGAAACTTAATATTAAAGTACTATTCGGGCTGGGCGCGGTGGCTCAAGCCTGTAATCCCAGCACTTTGGGAGGCCGAGGCGGGTGGATCACGAGGTCAAGAGATCGAGACCATCCTGGTCAACATGGTGAAACCCCGTCTCTACTAAAAATACAAAACATTAGCTGGGCATGGTGGCGCGTGCCTGTAATCCCAGCTACTCAGGAGGCTAAGGCAGGAGAATTGCCTGAACCCAGGAGGCGGAGGTTGCGGTGAGCCGAGATCGCGCCATTGCACTCCAGCCTGGATAACAAGAGTGAAACTCCATCTCAAAAAAAATAAAAATAAAAATAAAAATAAAGTACTATTCTTACCCACTGAGCAAGAACTGCTTTCACTTATTAACATATCTTGCCAGGGCCAGGCACAACACCTCAGTTCTGTGATTCCAGCACCGTAGGAGGTCGAAGCAGGGGGATCACTTGAGCCCAGGAGTTCAAGACCAACCTGGACAACATGCAAAAACCCACCTCCTCAAAAAATACAAAAAATTAGCCAGGCATAGTGGCATGCACCTGTAGTACCAGCTATTGGGGAGGCTGAGGTGGGAGCAATCAACTGAGCCCAGGAAATCAAGGCTGCAGTGGGCTGTGATCGTGCCACTCTACTCCAGCCTGGGTAACAGAGTGAGATCCTGTCTCAAAAAAATAGATCAGGCCAGCCATGCTGGCTCATGCCTGTAATCCTAGCACTTTAGGAGGCAGAGGCGGGCAGATCATGAGGTGAGGAGATAGAGATCATCCTGGCCAATATGGTGAAACCCCAATTCTAATAAAAATACAAAAAATTAGCCAGTCTTTGTGGTGCATGTCTCAAATGCCAGCTACCTGGGATGCTGAGGCAGCAGAACTTGAACTCAGGAGGCGGAGGTTGCAGTGAGCCAAGATCATGCCACTGCAACACAGCAAGACACTCCATCTCAAAAAAATAGATAGATAGACAGACTGACAGACAGACAGACGGCTAGACAGACAGACAGACAGACAGATAGATAGATAGATAGATAGATAGACAGACAGACAGATAGATGCAGAGGGAAGAGGGGAGAGAGGGAGGGGGGATAGGGAGAGAAAGGGATGGGGAAGAGAGGGAGTGGGGGGAAGGGAGGGGAGGGAGAGAGAGAGAGAGAGAGAGAGAGAGAGAGAGAGAGAGAGAAAGATTGATCTTGGCCATCTGGCCTTATACTGAGACCAAGCAAGTGAAACCTGTGGCAGGCAAGAGTGTTATCTATGATAAAAATAAAAAATAAATAAAAAGTGGTATCCCCAGATGTGAAGGCAAACTATAACAATGACAACGGCCTCTCTATTGATTGGCAGGGTCAATATGGCTGACAAGTTGGCTGGTCAGGTTTCTCATCTCCAGGTGCTGTGCTTCTAAAGCTGGGAGTGGCACAAAGAGATTACATGGTTCTTGCACCAGAGTTCATCTACTTTACTCAAGCCCATAATTTTACATTCAGTTCTAACAAATTTAGATGGTTTCCCAGTTCACAGTTAGATCAGAAGGGAATAAATCTTCACAGAGAGAAAAACACTTTATTCATTCAACTATTTGCTGAGTGCCTAAGAAGTATCAGGCACTTGGAAATACAGCAGTGACTGATACACAATGACCCCATCCTCCTGGCTTATGTGTGTTTGGTGGGAGGTAGAGGCAAGGGGTTAGACAGTAGAAAAGTAAATTAAAATAATTGTAAATAAAATAATTACAACATGTTATGGTTGTTAACCAGGACATAAACTGAATATGGATCTTGCACTCTCAGAATTATGAAAAGCAATACTCAAGCAAGGCCACACAGTGGCTTACACCTGTACTCCCAGCACATTGGGAGGCCAAGGTGGAAGGATCACTTGAGCCCAGGAAATCAAGACCAACAACACAGCAAGACCCTATCTCTACAAAAAACAAAAATAGAAAATTATTCAAGCATGGTGGTTGTGCCCACAGTTCCAGCTACGTGGAAGGCTGAGGGGAGGATCACTTGAGGCCTGGAATTCAAGCCTGCAGAGAGCTGAGATTGTGCCACTGAACTCCAGCATAGGTAAGAGTGAGACCCCATCACACACACACACACAATTTGAAAACCAAAAACTAAAAAACTAAAGTAAACCAATTAATCTTTGAGAAGTGATAATTGCATTATTAAGGTACATAACCTCAGCAATACCCTAACTTAAAACCTGCTGACTAGGAGATGTATTTGACTGCAAATCTGGCCCACACAAGCAATAATCTGAGTTACATCAAGGAAGCTGTAAAGACCAAGTAGATCAAAATCAAATCCAGGATTCAAATGGAAAAGCACCTCTGAATTGTGATTTTCAAAGAAACTTGCATTTCTTACACTTCAGTGTACTTTCCCCATATTTAACGCCACAATTTTTGTTAATTTCTTTGGTTTTCCTTTCTCAAACAAAATTATTCTTAAACTGAAAATTCTAGATTTGCTCTCTATTGCATCTTCGTTTCTTCCCAAACATTCCATAAAACCTGACCTACATTAAGTTAGCAAGTCTGAAAGCTTCTACCTTCCCTGTTGGGGGTGGGGTGGAGATATAGGGAGGGCAGAGACTTGCAGTCCAGCTCTCTTGCCACAAATTAGGAATTAGAGAGGTATGAGTTTGCTTTTATAATGATCTCCAGAGAATTTTCCAAAATTTCCCTCTCTTCACCCAGCTCCTTTGTAACCACTGCCAGAGAAGTCTTCCTTTAGCTTAAGCATCGATCCTAAAACACTTCCACACATACACCTGTGCTGCTCCTTTCTGTTCCCATGGAACCTCTGTAACAATCTTGCAAAAACATTCCCCTCAGTCTCATCCTCTGATCAAACCCTCTTAGGATTTCCCATCTCACTTAGAATGACAGTCAAAGTCCCAACTTCTGCATCACCTAGCCAGCCTGCCACCTCCAGAACTCTCCAGCCTCGTCTTTCTACTCTTCCCCGGGTTCCCTGCAGACGCCTTTACCTTGTTCTCAGCTTGGAATCCTCCCTCCCCTCCTTGAGGAACTTTCTCAAATGTCACCTTCCCTCAATACTCCCCTTTCCCTATTTAAAACTACAAACTTCCAACTCTCTAAGCCCCTAAATAACTCTATATTTAACTTACTGTATAAACTACTGTCCCTACTTTTAAATTGCAAGATTGCAGGGATTTATTGTTTTGTTAACTGCTGTCTCCCAAAGTCTAGAACAGTGCAAGACACCCAACAGTTCAATAAACAGCCATTCATTTAACAAACGTTTGCTGAGCACCTGGTCCCATCCAAGTTTGTTACATCAAGACAAATAAGATACTGTCCCTGCCTTTAACGCACCAGATGGAGAAATGCACCACAAACACAAACGTGCAATACAGGACTGATAACTAAGGCCACAGGCAAGTCAAAGAACGTGCCAAAAGTTCCGAGGAAGAGGCCTCGGCCTCGCCTTTCTGGAGACCAGTCCAGCTTTCCACCATCACGCAGCTCACCAGGGACCATCCCAGGGGGTCTCCTCTAGACCTCAAGAGAGGAGCTGGTCCCGCCTGCCATCCCCAGGTCTGAGAGTTTACTTTTCCAAAGATGTAACTTGCGGCCTCTTCCTGCCAGGCACAAGAGATTTAAGGAAAGAAAAGAAATATAAGGACCTCCGCTCTTCGGTCTCCGTCCCCTCCCCTTCCCCCGCGTGCCGTCCCCACAGCAGTCCAGTACCGAGCACAACTCTCGGCCAACTCGGGGCCTCTGGACTAAACGCCCTGCTTCCGCGAGCCCCACCTGCTCCCGGCGTCCCCTTCGGCTCCTCTCAGCGCATGCGCGAGCGGGCCCACGTGGGTTCGGGCGAGGCTGGCGCAGCGGCGGGGGCTGGGCACGCCCCTAGCGCAGAGCTGGCTTCTGATTGGCTTCTCGGTCCTCGCCCCAGCAGAGTTGGGACCAGCCCACCGCGCCTCTAAAGGCGCCTGCCAGCTCAGTCCAGGCGATCGCTTCCTACTCCTCGCCTTTTCCGCGGGCTCCGTGGAGTTCTTGCAAGCCGGCCAGGATGTCTCAGGTACAGCGCCTGCACAGCCAGGCTCCGAAGCTGCAGCGGGCTGGGGGTGCCTGTCGGGGGCTCACCCGGCAGCCGGAGCTCTCGGGCTCTTTCCTTCCGTGCCCCACCGTTCCTCCTGGACCCATGCCTAGCCCTGATTCGTTGGACAGAACCTTGTGAGCGGGACTTTTCGTTTGGGGATTTCTCAATCTGCTGCCCACCCGGCCACTGCTGGAAAGTTGCCCATGGGGTGGACTTCGCGGTGTAGCAGGAGAGGGGTGGCAGTCTAGGGTGCTTGGTGGAAAGATGGGGAAAGGGGTTGCACGGATTGGAGGAACGAGGAGACTCAGTCCCCATCCCGAAGCACCAGGCAGGGCGTCGCGGCGGAGTGGGGGAGCGCGTAGGCCATGGCCGGGAGCTTGGAGGTCAGGGGAAGTACAGGGCCGGGTGCTCCGCGTGCGGGACGGGAGTCGCGGCCCGGGGAGAGGTGACCCAGGGAGGGGCTCCTCCCTTCCCTCCAGTGTAGACCCTTGTCTGGGACCAAGCTTTGTGGGGCGACCTCTGGCTCCTCCCGCCTGCCTTTCCCAATCCGGGCACTGAGACAGAGGTCGGTGTCAAACGCCCGGGCCCCAAGGGAGGGGAGGGGACCAGCGGGCTCCGGCGCTGACACCGCGGCACTGGTGCCCTGTCCCCTTTCAGCTGTTTCGAGCGTGCTGTGCCGCCCCTATCCCCAAGCCAGAGCTTCTCTGGAACCCCGACCACTCCCTAGTGCCTGGCCCGGTGGGCAGTTGGCCGCACTGCTCCTCGCGCAGAGTGGAGACCCACTGCGGGCAAAGGGTTAGCCCGCCTTCTTCACCCCTGTATTTCCAGACCAGATGCCTGCGTTAGTGAGAGCACTGGATATATGGTTTTCGATTGAATGAGTGAACTGGACAGGCTTCCCATGCTTGTGCTGCTGAATCTTTCTAGCTGCCCTGTTGGGGCAGGGCGGGGCAGACACACTTGAGGGTCTGCCTTGCAGGAAGGATGCAGCCTTTCCCACCTCTCCATCCCTGTAGCTGGGCTCTGTTCAGGCCACAGCAGGACTCCCGCCCTCTCACACCCAGAAGAGGCCCTCAGTCCTCTCCTCTCCCTTCCATTTAGGCTGAGTTTGAGAAAGCTGCAGAAGAAGTTAAGAACCTTAAGACCAAGCCAGGAGATGATGAGATGCTTTTCATCTATGGCCACTACAAACAAGCGACTGTGGGCGACATAAATACAGGTATGTGGAGCAGGGATTGGAAGGACCTCTGCTCATCAAAGCAGTACCTGGGAACTTCACTACAAGTACCTGGGAACTTCACTCTCAAACTGCCTGAGGCTCTGCTCTGCACGTGGGTATGGAAGGATGGTGGAAGGGGTTGCACAGATTGAAGAAGAGAAGAGACTCAATTCCCATCCCGAAGCACCAATGGTTCCTGGGGTGGAAAAGACCATGTTCAGGATTCTCAGTGTCTCCAGTAGCAGAATTCAAATCCTGGTTTTAGAAGGGTTTTACTGGTTATCACCAGCGGCTCCTCTCTGCTAGGGAACAAGCAAAGGCTGCAGCTTGGAAAAGACTTGCTCTAGGCTCTCAGCTCAGTGGTAGCATTGTTGAGCCATTCAGCTTCTACCCTAGATGGGCAGGATCAAAGTTGGAGTATTGGCAGCCTGGCCAAGCCTGATGTCAGGAGCAGAGAAACACCTGGGCCAGGTCAGAGCATTTCACTGACAAGTCTGTGCCTTCCTGACGATACCTGTTCCCTGTCCCAAAATCTCAGCATAGAGTTTGAGGCTGTGCTTTGGACTGTCACATCTGTAGTAACATCATCTTTCCTGCCTCGGGCAGGTTTCATTCTGCCCCTGAGTCCTTGAAACCAGTGAATCCTGAGGCAACAGCACAGTGCATTCTGTGCAAGGACTCAGAGTTGTCATGGCAACACAGAAACAAGGTCTCTCCTGCCCCTGATCAGGAGGAAGGTGAGCACAGTCCCCATTTCCACAGAAGCTGGGTAGAAGATGGAGCAGGTAGGCTGGCTGTCAGCCAGTTGGAAGCAAGAAATGGCACCCAGAGCGAAGTATCACAGGCAGTGCCAAATCAAACACTGGGGCTCACACGGAACACTTAGCTGAGTAAGGTCTTGTGGCAAAGATGAGTTTTACACTGAGTTTATAAACTTTCCTCCCAGGGAGGGTAAGGAAAGGTGAAGCAGGGGAGGCCAGAGGTGCTGAGATACTTTTGGGACAAACAGTATTTTCACAGAGACTGGCCTGTGCCCATTCTGGAGTTACCAGTTTTCACATGAGTCTAGGTTGACTGGTGTGGGAACCTATCACTTCCTGATCAAAGAGGTATCATCAGCGCTCTCTAGGGCTTTACTGTACAGCCCTATTACACGATTATAAAACATGATAGTGCAAGCATAACAGTTTAGTGTAATAGCCAGTAGCCACATATGACTATATAAATTTTAACTGAGGCCGGGCTCAGTGACTCACACCTGTAATCCCAGCACTTTGGGAGGCCAAGGTGGGTGGATCACAAGGTCCTGAGTTCAAGACTAGCCTATGTTGATGGGGCCAACATAGTGAAACCCCGTCTCTACTAAAAATACAAAAATTAACCGGGCATGGTGGCATGTGCCTGTAGTCCAAGCTACTCAGGAGGCTGAGGTAAGAGAATCACTTGAACCCGGGAGGCAGAGGTTGTGGTGAGCCAAGATTGTGCCACTGCACTCCAGCCTGGGCAACAGAGCAAGACTCCATCTCAAAAAAAAAAAAAAAATTAACTGAAAATAGAAATAGTTAAATAAAATCAAGTTTATTCTTCATTCACAGAAGTCACATTTCAGGTGCTTAGTAGTCATTTGAGGTCCTCAGTGTGGCAGGTGGCTCCTGAATTGGACGTTGCAAATGTACATGCACATTTCCATTCCCAGGGCTGTGGAGAGAGTGTTCAGGGGTGCTGCTCTAGGATTCTGACGATGACCGCAAGTACAGTTTGTTTCAGATGTCCCTGGGAACACTTTCCTGAAAGCACTCGGGGACATTTTCTCAGGCACAGTGCTCAGGCTATGGACTTTGATCGTTCACTTTGGCTCTGGAGCTGGGCATGGTAGTGAAATAGGATAACAGGGAAATGGTGAGTGTGTTTCCTAACTGCAGATGATAACAGGTATAGAAGCATAAAGTCATCATATAACTTAAAGAAACCTAACCCTCAGTGAAAATACCCACACAGATCAGCAAGAAATAGACTAACAATTTGGTAGAAAAATGGGGCTAGGATATAAACAGATAGTTTATAGGAAAGGATACCTGATAACATTAATGATTAGGGAGAGAAATTGGGCAGCTAACAGTGGAGAAATTTTATAGTATTTTTCTCTGTAGCTATATGAATGTATGTCTTTAAAAAATTATAATTAAAGTATAATTTTTAAAAGGAGAAATTTTGGAGTCATTTCACTTGTAAGACAAAGACTGTCTTGTAATGAGAATAGTATTCTTCCTATTTCCTCTAGATTTAAGTTTGGATTGCCATACATCTGGTTTTCTTAAGGCAGAACCCACACTGGTAGCCCCATTTAACCCCATGACAGAGTCTAGAAGGAACAGGTGTAATAGAAGATGGCATTCATGGCAAGAAGGTCTATCAAGTTCTCCATTCAAATTTGAAGCAGATCTAATGTCTTTTCTTCTCTTGTTTAAGAACGGCCTGGGATGTTGGACTTCAAGGGCAAGGCCAAGTGGGATGCCTGGAATGAGCTGAAAGGTAATTGTTCTAATCGGTTTCCCTCATTTGTGAAACCCAGTAATGAAAGAGTCTTCATTATGAAGTGCAAGGGAAGAGGAGAAAAGAAAGTCAACGGAGCACATGCTGGAAACCAGTCTAACCTGTGCCAGAATGGGAAAAAAAACCGGGCCACCTACTTTTTCTCCTGACACTGTTTATGCCTTTTCTAAAAGCACCATCTCTGAGCAAGAGTATCATCTAGAGAGGAGGGTCTGGGGACCAGGCTGTCGAAAAATAGGTTGGGAAGTGATGTAGTTGGTGTGGGCTTCGGACGTGTTCAGAATAAGGGGTGGTTTCCTGTCTACAGCTCCCTCTCCCCGACAGGCTAGGTGAGGACCCCCTATCTCCCAGGGCCCTCCACAGTTCCCTCCCAGCCAGGAGAGTACATAAAAGAAGGGAATGAGCTAATGCATGGCAAGCTGCTGGCATCGTAGGCTCTGTGAATGGAGCCATTATATGCTAAGCACCGGCAGCCAAGAAGTATCCAAGCTCCTACTTAATCACGTGCCACCTGCAGCAGCAAGACCCAAGAGTTGGCACTAAAGCTCCTGGCAACATTAGTGTTCCCGCTGGCTAGTTTCTGAATAAGCCCTCTGTCTTTCTACAAATGAGAAACCCTTGAATTCAGAAAGGACCACAATACAATAAACACACTCCTAGGATCTGCAAGTAACTGGGAAGGGAATGCCTGGCCATTTTCATGGGACATTTCCATACCATCCTCAGGCCCCATGTAGTCTCCCGTGCTTCAGAACAAGCTCTGAATTTCAGGGGGTCTCTCTCCTTCACCATAGAATCAGGAAACTGTGTGTCACTGTCTCTGCGGATACATTCAGTGTCCTTTCTACTGCAGCAAGAAGACAAAGCTTTGTCTCATTCCCCTCCAAGAAGCAGCTACTTTTGCTCAGAGTTTCTGAAACTTTTCTCATAGCCTGTCTCTGGGGAGA